ATTATCACCCAAATTAAGTTTACAGCTAGGTTATGAACCAAATAAAAATCTCCTAGAGAGAAATTTTGGAAAGTGTCCTGCTAATTTACACTTAGGGTTACCATCTCAACTATTTCTATATTGCGACATTATCGATCCTCAGATTGTGGGTGATGTTATGACTCCTTTATTAAGAGTCATTTCATTAGATCCTACAAAATACATTTATGGTGCAAATAAAATGCACGTTTTCTCTCAACCTCACTACTTACCTGTTATGCGAAGAGAGTTCGATACGCTGGAAATAGTTATAAGATCGAGTACAGGACAAAAAATACCATTCCAGTTTGGAACCGTGTGTATTAAACTACATTTCCGAAAATTATAATAATGAATTCTCTTCGTGATCATCATAAATGTCCATATGAAAATTATTATACACATCAAGCTGGATCAGGAGTTGGAGTAATTTATAAGGGTTCACCATATCAACGCGGTCATGGAATTGGGAGCTTCTTAGGGGGGTTATTCAGATCAGTTTTACCTTTACTTTCAAGTGGTGCTCGAGTGATTGGTAAGGAGGCATTAAGCGCTGGAGTAGGACTTTTATCGGATATGGTTCAAGCCCGTCCTATGGAAGCCTCAATAAAAGATCGTCTAAAGCAAGTTAGTACGAATTTAAAACGAAAGGCTGATGAGAAAATTGATCAATTTAACATGACTGGATCTGGGTATAAAACTAAAAGAAAACGATTGACATCGTTCATTCCACCATTAACTGCTAAAGTGAAAGCTGCGAAAAAACTTTGTCTAAAACCAAAAAATATCAAAGATATATTTTCAAACTTAATATGTCTTTCCTTCATAATCATTCTTGCGAGTGCGTTAAGTCAGAATTGGATTTGTTTGCACTACCGTCTACACAAACTAGCATTGAAAATGGATTGTGGATTCATTATAAACCAATTTCATCTCTTGGTGATGATGGACCTATCGAGTTTCAAGTTTCTGGGACCGGCGATGACTACATAGATTTGTCTCATACATTACTCCACATAAAGGCAAAAGTATTAAATCAAGATTCAACTAACTTGGTATCTACTACAATAGTAGCACCTGTAAATAATTGGCTGCATTCACTTTTTAGTCAACTTGATGTTTATTTAAACCAAAAACTTGTATCACCACCTAATAATACCTATGCATATCGAGCATACATGGAAACCCTTTTAAACTATGCCCCTGCTGCTAAACAATCTCATCTTACTTGTAGTCTTTGGTATGAGGATACAGCAGGAAAAATGGATTCTACAGATGGTAAAAACATAGGATTTGTTAAAAGACAGGAATTGATTAGTGAAAGTAAGGAAATAGAAATGATTGGTCATTTTCACGGTGACATTTTTAACCAAGATAAATTTTTAATTAATGGTGTTGAAATGAGTGTTAAATTGGTTCGATCAAGAGAGAGTTTTAATTTAATTGTTGGGTCAAACGATGTAAAGTTTAAAGTTTGCATTACGGACGCAACTCTTATTGTTCGACGAGCACGAATTAATCCAAGTGTATTACTCGCACATCAAAAAGTTTTAGCTTCTACCACTGCTAAATATCCTATTACTCGAGCTGAAGTAAAAGTTTTAACAATTCCTTCGGGTGTTCAAGGAAAAACTCTTGATAATATATTTTTAGGACAGGTACCGAAAAGATGTATAATTGGATTTGTGAACAATTCTGCATTTAATGGTTCCCTTACTAAAAATCCATTTAACTTTGAAAACTATGGTATTAATTCTTTCAGCTTATATATTGATGGTCAACAAGTACCTTCAAAAGCTTTGCAACCATCTTTTAATAATAGCATATTTACATCAGCATATCATACTCTATTCTCGGGAACTGGTATTCACTTTCTTAATGAAGGAAATGGAATCTCTTGTGAACAGTATGGCAAAGGTTACTGTCTATTAGCATTTGACTTAACTCCTGATTTATCAGCTAACTCATCAACTCATTGGAATCTCATAAAGCATGGTAGTGTAAGAATAGAAGTACGATTTGAATCCTCATTAATACAAACAATTAACTGTATAGTTTATGCTGAGTTTGATAATATTATTGAGATAGATAAAAACAGAAATGTTACTGTAGACTATAGTAGTTAAGGTTATAATATGTGTTGTGTGTTAGATTTTATGTGTTATGTGTAATGCATTTTGTGTGTATGTAACTATGTGAAACGTTATAAAATTAAATAAAACAAATTGTATGCAATATATTTTTTTTTATTTCTTTATAAATCTTCTATTTAATCTAATACAAAACACTGTTCGAGTTGAAATTTTACATAAGCACACTGACTAAACCACTGAACATGCTGCTGCCAAGGATCATCATCATCTTCCCAATTTTTTAAACCACCACCACAATGGAAACACTTGGTCCCGTCTGCATGACCAGTATAAAAGAAACCAGCTTCTGCAAGATCTTCAGGTTTCTGTCGCATAACGAGAGGCCAGTTTTCGAAACTAAGCAAACGGCTAGATTTTGAACTGAAGAATGGATATTCAGCTCTTGAGTACTGCATACTCTTTTCGTTTTCTTCTCCACTCAGTGTTGTAGTTTTGTTCTTCAATGATGTGTTTTGTACACGTATGCCACACTCATCTCTTCCTTCCGCTCTTGTCTTCCTGTAATTGAAGTAAACAGAATCACATTCACTAATGATCAGCTAATGACTGTCATTGTTAAAAAAGTATTTTTTAACTTTTTCACTTTCTGCTATTGTCTTTGTTATATTGTATACGAGGGCGTTTGTGTTGTCGTAGATGCTATCCTTATTAGTCTTTACGTAATATTTAATTCTCGTGGAAGCATGTTTCCAATGATCAGTAGTTGGAATCTTGGATAGCTTCTTCATATCGTACATTTCAATTTTGATGAGATGCGTCGCTTGGTCTCCGTCGTCAGAATTAGTAGAAATGTATGATACACCATCTCTAGCGGCTCGTGCTACGGTTGATGATAACAGCTTCCTCTTTTTTATTTTTGATTCAGCTTCAAAAAAATGATCAATCGATTGCGATTTTCTTTTTCCACCATCGCATGTGTTATTATTAATGACGAGGTCATCACTCTCTTCTTGAGGGGAGAGTGGCGAGTAGTAATACTGTTTATAGGTATTTTTATCGAAGCTCAATGATTTCTGCAACAACACAGTTATCATGTTAATATCAATTTGTTAACACTTAATCATAAAAGTTAAAAAAGTTAAAGTTACAGCCTATTAAAGTCCACTGCTGAACATAGGCCTCCTCTCATTTCTGAGAGGGTTTTAGGGCAAGGAAATGTCCGCCGCGCTGCCTCAATGTGTGTTGGCGAACTTCACATGCCTTCGAAATTTTCTCAGACATGCAGGTTTCCTCACGATGTTTTCCTTCACCACCAAACACGTGGTAATAAGCACTTAAAATTGCGATTAACAATTTAATTGGTGCTGGCGGGGATCGAACCCGGGTCGCGTACTGTGAAATTTACAGCTAGCGCTAACCATCTGAGTTACCACGGCTTAATCATATACATACACAATATTTAAATAAAATAATACACACGCATGAAAATAACAGAAAAAAAGTAATTTAGTCAATAGAATAAACACTTACGTCCATAGCCTTTGGTGCATTGAAGTAACACAAATGTACTATTGATAGATCCACTGCAGTCAAACGACTATACACTAACTCGATGACTGCGTCTGTTGGTCTTATATACCACCAGTACGTAAAAATTCTAATCTAAAGTATTTCCGTAATGAGTTGATAATTACTTTATGCGTCAACCAGTTTATCTCACATTTCCGTTGCCTATCTCAACATTTCTTCGTATTGTGTTTTGTTTGGTGATCAATGACTCAAGTACGATTTGTATAACACAAAAATGCAATTTAATATTTAGAAATCACTATAATTGACCATTTCTATGTTATTCATTGAGTAGATTGGTACTGTAATAATCTACTAATAGCAGTAATATCATGGATAGACTAGATGTACAACAACATCTGAAAAAGATTCACCCCAGTCTAGAAAATAATGTTTATGCAGCTAATAGACTGCCTATGTATACCCACGTACCAACGTATATAATATGCAATTTGGATACAGATGATAAACCAGGGTCACATTGGGTAGCTTTATATATCGATACGAATAACGTCGGTCAATATTTTGATTCATATGGACGATCACCTGTACGATATCATCTAGAGTTTTTAAAAAGGAATTGTAAAAGATGGAACTGGAATGTTGATAGGATTCAGAATGAGTGGACTTCAGTTTGTGGCGAATATTGCTTAATGTATTTGCTATATAAGTTTCAGGGATGTTCAATACATAGTTTTATAAGTATATTTACAAGGAACACATTGTACAACGATATTTTAGTGGATGAGATGTTTCGCTCCTATTTTATAGATAATAAGTAATAAGATTTTGTATTTTATAAATAAAAATTGTAACAAAATTATGTAATGTGTTTTATTGATGATTCAGATTAGCGTTGTATAATTAGGAACAAAGAAGTATAATACAATAGCACTGATATAGTCGACGCACACGCTGCAATGAAGGTGATTAACGAACAATAGAACAATAGAAATAGGAACAATGGGACGCTAATGACGGTGGAGGCCCTTACCGGATATCAATTAGATATTAGGTAATTGATCTGCGCATCTCCGGAACCCTGCATCCTACACAAAAATGGACCGCGGATTCGTGATCAGAGCATGCCAAAACCTTTTTTTTTTTTTTTTTAGGATCGTGTGTCGACGAACGTCGTTGGAACCGCTTCTGACTCAGGTGGTCCAGAAGTGGTACAACTACACTACTCTGATATATTCGATAGAAAATGAACAGAGATGCAACGCCTCTTTCCAAGCCCAGTCTCTTTCCAATCCCTAAATTTAAACTCAAAATTAATCCATACTTAAAATTTAAGATTCTATTTCTTAATAATTGCAGACTGTGCGCTGTGAGCCATTAGTAACAATGGGTCAATTATCTAGAACACTGGGGCCGTTAGGACTGGCGCTGCCCGTGGTTCCAGAGCTGGACCAGCTTACTGTTGGTGGTTTAGTGATGGGAACCGGTGTTGAGTCGTCTTCGCATATCTACGGATTATTCCAGCATATATGTGTGCAGTACGAACTAGTAATGGCAGATGGATCTGTTGTTACTTGTAGTAAGGTATTTAAATTTTTTTTTGTAAACCTTCAATTACAAAGCATGCCTGACCTGAGTGGATATTGTTGTGCTTACACTACATCGAAAGTCGGGTTAATTCAAACGCCACATTATTAATAAATCAATTCGTAGAAAACTTTTTCATATCGCACACATTGAGTTATATGAACTACGTACTAGAGAAGCCATTACGAACATTGACTATGTTCAACTGAACTGTAGTGCAATCCATACAAACTAAATTTTGCGTAAATTGAAGATTTGTGAATTCCATAAAATAATTATTATAACATTTTATTTAGAAATATGTTTGTTTAGATTAAATTAAGATATTTTATATTAAATCCTAATATTAATTTTATATTAATATCTTATTTTATATGAAATTAAAGTGTTCGCGCATGCGCGACTACTACTCCCGCGCATGCGCGAAGACATAGAGTAGGACACAATTTTTGTTTGGAATGGCTTCTCTAGTACGTAGTACATATAACTCAATGATCGCACACAATAGCGTGTATTGCCTTATGGGAGATTAATACTTAAAACTTCATCAAAAACCTTTAGCTTATTAATTTCTTGGTCAAAGGATGAAATGACATGATGTGTTTTGCTGCATTATCCAGGATATAGAAATTACAGCTTGGTTGTAGGTTCTGTGATATGAACAGTACTGTAAAGTTTGATTATATATGTTACGAATTATATATAATACGAATTATGGTACGAATATTTCGTAAAGCATCTTTCTTAATTCGATAAAAATTAATTTGATTGCAGACTGAAAACCCTGATTTATTCTATGCTGTACCGTGGTCATATGGCACCCTCGGATTCCTGACATCAGTTGTGATCAAATTGGTTCCCGCTAAAAAGTAAACAACTAAGCACTAAGATTTCTTTTCTACCGACTTCAAAAAGGAGACGGTACTCAATTCGACTGTATGTTTTATTTATGTGTGTTACCTCATAACTTTTTACTGGGTGAACCGATTTCGATGATTTTTTTTTATTTGAAAGCTGGTGCTTCACATGTGGTCTAATATAAATTTGATTAAGGTTTGACCAATAGTTTTTGAGTTATTCATAATAATTTATATTGAAGTCGGTTGTACAAAATTTTTAATTATTAGAATAGAATAGAATAGAATAATTTTTTATTCAATATACATTACATGTGTAATTCTTATTGAAAGTCATTTTTTACTTTACCACTGGTTCGAAAAAAAAAAACACTCTGTCCTGGGAAGAACCAGCAAGAAACCCAGCGGGACTTTTATTTAAAAATAAATTTTACAATATGAATGATTACGAACTATGTACAAAATTTATTTTAGAAACTGCTTGGAAGCTACCACCTCATTCCCAGGGGTTATTATCAACCATGTATTCATTTATACTATAATAACCCTTTTTATACAGTTTCAGTTTCATAAAACATTTAAACTTGGTAATAGAGAGAGCCTGTACACTTTCCGGGACCTTGTTGTAATAGCGTATACATTGCCCTAAGAATGAATTACTGACTCTGAATAAGAATGAATTAAATATTGACAAATATTGACATTATTATTTATACGATACTAACGTCACTCAATTGTTTTGCATTCCCGGAAACGCTCCACTATGACTTAAACTGTATGGTATGTATGTAAAAACTGTATGGCCCCGCGACTTTGCCCGCGTGGAATTTACTACGATTTCATGGATATCAATTTTTTTGCGCGGATCCCTAATTTTGTTTTTGAGTAATGTTACCATCTTATAAATATTTATACGATACTAACGTCACTCAATTGTTTTGCCTTCCCAGAACCCCTCCACTAACACTTAAACTTTATGGTATGGTATTAAAGTTCAAATTGTCTATTACGTATTATTACGAATCTTTTGTATGGGAATATAGAAAAGTGTTGTTTTTAGACTTTTTCAGGCAATTTTTAAAAATTTTCTCTCCGTAAGAACCATCTTCGTACTTCAAGGAATATTATAAAAAAAGAATTAGCGGAATCGGTTCAGCTGCTCTCGAAATTTGCGCTTAGCAACACATTCAGCGATTCATTTTTATATTATATAGATTATACTTCTTGTCGTTAGTAAGGAGTTTACTAAGTTTAGTTGTCAGTCAGTTGTTAATAAAATCTCTATAAAATACATCTTTAAATGAACTTATGATTATCAGTACAGGACGAAATTTCGTAAGGCCACTGTGGCCGTGTTGTAATAGGCGACAGAGAGAAAATAAAACAATAGATGGGCGCAGCATCGTCCCGATAATAACTCACAGTAATAAAAAACTGCGGTGCTGCATTCATAGCAAAAGCCCCCATGAGAGATAATCTATGGGGGAGGTCTATGTTCAGCAGTGTGCTTTTATACAGCCTAGTGGATGGATGGAATCGTGTCAGTTATGGTGAATCCATCCTACATTTGGGGAGGAATATGTCCCACAGTAAACTGGTGAATAAAGTAGGGGTATCATTATATTACATAAAGTGAATTTTGTATTTGGTTCTACTCCCAATGTAATTTTTTTTATAGGATAGGGTGACAAACGAGTATACAGGCCACCTGATGGTAAGTGGTTGCTGTGGCCCATAGACATCTACATTTATCCTCAATAAAGAATCAAACTGCAGGTCCGTCGTCCCCCGTGAGGACTATGATGGAATGCCTCTTTTCCAATAAAAGGGGTTTCCGGTTCTCTACACTCACCATACGAAACACAGCAGTGTTAAGCTGCTATTTTACGCTGGTATTCTGTGAGAGTGTGGTCCTTCCCCGGTCGAGCCGACCCATTCGTGCTACAACTATACTATTAGCTGCAGCATGGCTCTACCACGTAAAAAATATATATGTTCAGCAGTGTGATTTTATACAGCGTAATGGATGGATGGAAGCGTGTCAGTTATCATATAATCCATCTTAAAATCGGGGAGGCCAATGTCCCACAGTAAACTGGTTAATAAAGTAGGGGATATCATTATATTACATAAAGTGAATTTTATATTTGGTTCTATTCCCAATGTAATTCTTAAATTACAGAGAAATCCGATAGATGGCGGTGATAACATTTCGTATTTTTCGAGTATACCAGATAGGGTCAGGATCAGGGTGGGTGACATTTGATACTGCAATCGTTTATTCGCCTAATAGGCAGACTAGCGATTAGCAGGAGTAATCCATCTTCACTGGTGGATTGGTTACGAGCATGAAAAAGAAGAAGGTTATTTTATAGGATAGGGTGACAAACGAGCACACAGTCCACCTGATGGTAAGCGGTTGCTGTGACCCATAGACATCTACATTTATCCTTAATAAAGAATCGAACTGCAGGTCCGTCGTCACCCGTGAGGACTATGATGGAATGCCTCTTCTCCAGTAAAATGGGTTTCCGGTTCTCTACACTCACTATAAAAAACACAGCAGTGTCAAGCTGCCATTTGACGTCGGTATTCTGTAAGAGCGTGGTCCTTCACCGTTCGAGCCGACCCATTCGTGGTACAACCATAATATAACTGCAGCGTGGCTCTAATACGTATATTTTCACAATAATACGTATGTTCTCACAGAATACCAGCGTATATGCTTCTGTGTTTCGTATGGTGAGTGTAAAGGACTGGAGACCTTTTTTACTAGATAAGAAACAGTCCATCTTAGTCTTCAGGGGTGACAATGCATCTGCATTATGATTCTTAATTGAGGATAAATGTAGATGTCAGTCACCTACATTTGCCCTGAATTAAGAATCACACAGCACATCAGCATCCACTTACCATAAGGTGGATTGTGTGCTCGTTTGTTACTCATATTCTATAAAAAAAAATTATCGATTAATGTACAGAATAGAAAAGTAACTAAAAGATTTCGTAACGACTTTGATTAAAATATGTATTTAAAAATAATTTCAACCAGGTACATCCGATTAGAATACCACCCATATACAAGCCTATCGGAGCTATCGTCACGGTTTAGACAAGAGGCCCTGAAGGAGAATCCACATCAGTTCATTGAAGCTCTTCTCTTTAGTAAGGAAAGTGGCGTGTTTATGGCTGGCGATATGGTTGACGAAGTTGGAGCAGATGGAAAGGTTAGCAAAGTAAAATTATTCACAAGCCTCCACGTTGCTGTAGAGAGTGTTGGAAGATTTCACGGTTTCTAAATATATTTACTTACATAACATCGCACTCAAATACAAAAAAAAAGAATTTTAGTGGTAGCCTCAGCGGAATCAAACTTGGGTTGCTCGCGTACCATCAAGTTAAGGTTTGCAGGTCACAAAGATACGACAGCTTATATATTTACTAGTATCAAGTAATTATATTAGAAAAATAATTACATCTTCTAATTTTTTACTAGCGACATACACCGGCTTCGCACGGGTAGCACTAAGTATCTTCGACTGGATGACCTGAGGGCCCTAATCACGTTGATATTAGCACTTTCAACGCTCATCTATCACTAGCAACGTAGATATATCGAGTTCAATTCTGGGGCGGTATCTAAGATGATATTTTAGTGGAAAAATACCACTTTAAAGCTAAATATTTCACAAACGGATCTTTGAATCGAAAAGATGATGTTCCACACCCCCAGTGTGTTTGAAAGACCTATCCAACGAAACCTTTATGATCGAATAGACGGGTAAAAAAAATCATTCTCCATTTACTTGTATGGGAAGTATCCAAAATAAAAATGTTTTTAAGATTTTATTTTAGTTTTCTATGCGTGATTAATATCTAAAACTATGCCAAATTACAGATTTGTAGCAACTAGGATTCTAGGTAGGGAACCTCAATATATGTCCTGCCATGCAAACTATCATCATCATCATCATCATTACAGGCTTTCATAAGTCCACTGCTGAACATAGGCCTCCCCCAAAGAATGCCACAAAGCACGGTCCTGAGCCACCTGCATCCATCGACTTCCTGCATGTCTTACCAGGTCATCACTCCATCTCGTGGGGGGTCGGCCTACACTTCGCCTACCGGTACGAGGCTGCCACTCAAGAACCTTCCTTCCCCATCGGTTGTCGGTTCTTCGAGCTATATGGCTGGCCCACTGCCACTTCAGCTTACTAATCCGTTGGGCTATGTCGGTTACTCAGGTTCTACTGCGGATATACTCATTTCTAAGTTTATCACGCAGAGAAACCCCGAGCATAGCCCTCTCCGTAGCTTGCTGAGCGACCTTGAGCTTCCTCATACGGTCAGCAGTGAAGGACCACGTCTCAGATCCGTAAGTCATCACTGGCAACACGCACTGGTTGTACAATTTCGTTTTAAGGTTTTGAGGTATGTCTGACGAGAAGATGTGTCGTAGTTTCCCGAACGCTGCCCAGCCGAGTTGAATCCGTCGATTGACCTCTCGGTCGAAGTTGGACTTACCTAGTCGGACTATTTGTCCCAGGTAAACATACTCGTCAACAACTTCGAGCTTAGTGCTCCCAACAACTACCGGCATAGGTGTGACATGGACATTAAACATGATCTTTGTTTTGTCCATGTTCATCCTAAGACCTATTCGTTGGGAGACACTATTGAGGACATTGAGTATGGTGCTTAGGTCCTCCAGCGATTCTGCCATAAGGACTATATCGTCGGCAAATCAAAGGTGAGTGATGTACTCGCCATTGATGTTGATACCGTATCCTTCACAGTCCAGAAGCTTGAAAACTTCTTCCAATATAATTAATAGAATCAGGCGTTACTTTGCGGAAATCCATTATATTAAGAGCTTTTAGAAAAATTTACTTCGCAAATATCCGCGTTATAAAATAAAATTATGTGTCTTACCTAGTATGAAGAGCACCTCCCGCCCTCCCTCAATTGCGTGCACTATCCCCGTTACCACTAATCCCAGCACCGCTACTCCCAACACCACTACACTAGGCAAGACACACCACTGACGATAATACGACACGTGTTTCGCCTCTACACGAGGCATCCTCAGGTGATATAGACACTACGGTGGCTAACCGCTAGGACGTAAGTCGTTATAACGCGGATATTTGCGAAGTAAATTTTTCTAAAAGCTTTTAACGTCTTCCAATGCAGCGGTGAAGAGTTTCGGGGATATAACGTCACCCTGTCTTACACTTCTCTGCAATTGGATAGGTTTCGTACTCTGGTTTTGTACTCAGATACCCATCGTAGCTCCACTGTACAAACACATCAGCACTTCGATATACCGACAGTCAACTTGGCACCGCTGAAGGGACTGCAGCACCGCCCAAATTTCGATGGAATCAAAGGCTTTCTCATAGTCCACATACGCCAGACATAGTGGCAAATTGTACTCTTTGGACTTCTGTACAATTTGCCGAAGGGTATGTATGTGGTCTATGGTGCTAAAGCCCTTTCGGAAACCGGCTTTTTCGGGAGGCTGGAAGTCGTCAAGTCTACGCGTGAGACGATTCGTAATGACTCTCGAAAACAGCAAGTAGACGCAGCTCAGAAGGGAAATCGGTCTGTAGTTCTTCAAGAGAGCGTTGTCACCTTTCTTGAAGAACAAGACCACCGCACTTCTGCTCCACGCCTCCGGTGTAATGCCACCATGGAGGACGGAATTAAAGAGCTTCTGAAGGACTTGAAGTACCGGTCTTCCACCCGCTTTCAGAAGCTCTACTATAATTTCATCCTCGCCTGGGGCCTTGTCGTTTTTAAGGTCCTGGGGAGCCATTCTAATCTCGCTCAGACTGACGTCCGGGATATCTTCGGAATAGTGTCGGATAAGACTCGCTCTTGGATCGTTACTCACACTTGCGTGTGGCTCCAACGATTACGTGTAAAGCTTCCCATAGAACCTCTCAATCTCACTCAAAATCTCAGGTGCCCCGGAAACGATGCTGCCACACTCGGTCTTCAGCTTCGACAGTTGGCTCTTTCTGGCAGACATATCTCTGGCAAAGAGTTTGGAGCCTTGGTTCAGCTCGATCGCTTCTTCAATACGAGCTGTATTGAAGTTGCGTAAGTCCCGCCGCATGCATTTGGAGATCTGTCTGTTCAGTTGCCTGTATACTGTCAAATCTGTTGAAGAATGTAGCTTCATCTCCCGTCTAACAGCCATGATATTGAGAGTGTGATCGGGGAGTTTTTGTGTTCTTCTGCGGCGGGTCTTGCAGAACTTAGCTCCGACCGCATGGACAGTGTTTCCACGAGCTTGTCATTCATATCGTCCATTTCATTGCAGTCTTCTAGGCACTGAACACGGTTTTGTAACTCGAGGTGAAAGGTTTCGGGACTTTGGAGCAGATCACGAGAGGGACGGAGCGTTGACTTCATCAGGCGAGACCTCTCCAACTTAACGTTTAGGTTCAGTGTGCCTCTAACCATTCGGTGATCGCTACCAGTTTTCACCCTCGCGATCACGGAGACATCATTGAACAGTTGTCGTCTGGTCGTCATAATGAAGTCAATCTCATTTTTTGTGGAACCGACGGGGCTAGACCAGGTCCACTTCCTGTGGGGCCGCTTCTGGAAGAAAGAGTTCATCATAAAGAGTCCCTCTTACTCCATGAAGTCGGCCAGTTGTTGGCCCCTTGGGTTCCGTTGCCCTATTCCAAATTTCCCTACTTTCAGTTCACCGTTCTCTCTTGTGCCTAGTTTTGCATTGAAGTCTCCCATTAACACCGTATATTGGGTTTTGGAGGAATGCATGGCTCTAGAGATATCCTCATACATTTCCTCCACCTCCTCATCGGGGTGTGCCGAGGTTGGTGCGTAAACCTGTATGACCTTCAGCGAATACCGTTTGGTGATCCTGAGTATAAGGTACGCAACCTTCGTCGTCACACTCCCAATCTTTACAACGTTGTTAACGAGAGACTTGTGGACGATAAATCCGACACCTTCTTGGGACAGATGGTCGCCCTCCCGATGATAGAGCAAGTTGCCTGATTCGAGGATTACCGTGTCCTCACCCTCTCTTCGGACTTCGGATAATTATATAATATGCCAGCGTAACTTGTCTATCTCTTCTTCCAGCTCCACGATCTTCTCGTCAGTCCTCAGGGTGCGTGCGTTGTACGTTGCCAGGTCGAGTCGTCTAAAGTGGCAACCGAACCTCCACCGGAGATTCTTAGCACCCCCTGCCCCGCCGTTACCATGGTCGCCACCGTAGCCAGGAATAGCGGTGCCGCCGGGGACTGGGGGCCGTTTCTTTGTTACTGTCATTCATTTGCCATAGTTGCCAAGCTTGGCAAGCGGGTTGGAAACCGCAGTTTTTTTTTATTGTGAGTTTGTTGTTATCAGAAAGACGCTGCTGCCCATCTCCTGCCTGTTTCCCTTTGTCGCCTTTTACGGCACCCACGGGAAGTATGGGGTAGTGGATATTCTTAACCGCCACTACACGGCACCTATATATAAGTTACATAATATTATCAACAACATATATAAATGGCAGCTTTATTGAAATAACGTAAAGTATTTTAAAGAAAAAATGTACTTGTCAACCTATCTGCCATGACATTGGGACCGCCATTGGTGTCTGCCAATGTTATTTTTCAGTAACTTTTATTGAACATTTCAAGATGTCAAAGCGGCAGACTTATTACTTTCACGTTTTTTCGGTCATTTTTTTACACGTTCACACCTGAGCGTTTCTATATCAACCGCCGGTCAAACTAAAGAGTCCCCGCTTCATTTATCTCAGATATAGGGGATTAACTGAAGAAGCTTATTGAAATACCGTAACTCTGCCGCTCACTGGTTCTTAGGCCATAGTACTTGCGAAAAATATTCAAAACCTTTCTCATGAATCAGTCTGTCTATTATTACATACAGACAGCGCTTCTGAAGACTTTGGATGTCCAGGCAGACGTTGCTCTGCCCTTTTCGACGACCATTTGTCATATAAAAATTCTTAAAATCGCAATAAAAATTTTGAGGATTACTTATTGGAATAAAAACTATCCTATCTCTTAAGTTGGAGCAAGCATTACACATTTACAATATTTTATTAGAATCATTTGAGCTATTTCGGAAATCGTGTTTATTTTTATAGGATGAGGGTGACAAACGAGCACACAGTCCACCTGATGGTAAGTGGTTGTTCTCGCCTATAGACATTTCTCGATTATACATCTATTCTCAATTACGAAAATGCAGATGCGTTGTCACCCATGAGAACTAAGGCGGAATGCTTCGTTCTGGGAGAGCGAGGTCCTTCCCCGGTCGAGCCGACCCGTTCGTGCTACAACTATACCGCTAATACAGCCGCAGCATGGCTTTACCACGTAAAAGACGAACATCGTGCTAGAAATACGGGTTTTTATATATAAATTATAAAATCTTTATCTATATATCCATTTCTATGCTCCTCTTTTGAAATTTATTTAAAAAGAATACTTGCGTCATGAAATGCTCTTATAAATCAGTTAAGAAATTATAATTCATTCTGTATGTTATTTTATTTCAGTTGAACCCAATCGGTAACTGGTACTCGGAGTGGTTTTTTAAACAAGTCATGCGACATTTAAAAAATTGGCAACAGGGAAGAAGGAATACTGTGGTTGAATATATTCCGTTACGCCATTACTATCATCGCCATACGCGTAGCTTATTTTGGGAATTACAGGTGATAGCTGCATTCATATTCAAAATATCAAATTAATATCTTTTTTAATGTAATCTATATAATAAGTTACGGTAAGTATATAAAATATATAAAGTAAATATATATATTTGTTTGTTTCCTATTCCATTAAGTGTTCCAAGTGCGTGTCGGACTCGCGCATGAAGGGTTCCGTACTATCGTAAAATACGTTTGTAGTAGGGGAAACCCCTTTAATTTTTAATTTATTTTTATTTTTATTATTTGTTGTTTGTTATAACGGCAACAGAAATACACTTTCTGTGAAAATTTGAACTGTCTACCTATTACTACACTGACAGACAAACCGACGGACGGACGGACGGACGGACGGACGGACGTCCCGTTGGTTACCCTTTGGGTACGGAACCCTAAAAATAGCCTTTAAAGCACTTGGTCACCTTTCTGACTGGAACTCAAGTTGTCACATTTGAGGACTTATGTAGATGTAAAAGCTTATATCCCACACTAGTATTAGTGCGGGATTTGGGCTTTCGCTTTACACAGGACTCTCTTACCACAATAATATAAGCACTGCTACTTAACAAAATTGTAGTAAAGACACAACCTACATATGTCCCACTGCTGGGCATTTCTGAGAGGGTTACAGAGCCAGGAAAAGGCCACCGCACTGCCGCAATGCGTGTATCCAATTTTTTTTGAATTCTCAGTAATACACGATTTCGCACGATGTTTTCTTTTTTCACCGTTGAGCACGTTGATATACCATCAGCACTTAAAATAGTAATAAATAATTTCATTGGTTCCAGTGGGGATCGGATTCGCATTATTCCGTACTGTGTAATTTACAGCGAGCGCTTAGCTTTGAGCTACCACAACTCAAAAAATATGTAGGTTGACAATACAAATGAATTGCTGAATAGAAAAGTCCGTCCAATCACGTTTTAAATTAAATAACGTAAGTACCTACATATATTTTTGAATTAACTTTTAATTTAATCCATAGGATATCGTATCGTTTGGCAACCATCCGATATTCCGGTATCTTTTTGGCTGGCTAATGCCTCCGGAGGTATCGCTTCTGAAGCTGACACAACCTGAAGCCGTGGGCAAGTTGTATGACCGCGCACATGTCATTCAGGACATGTTGGTGCCGATTGATAAGCTGGAAAACGCTATAGAATGTTTTCACACGGAGTTTGAGGTTAGATATCTTCATTTCAATTATTTACATATCTAAATACCGAATGCATTGAAAAACCCGAATGTGGCTTTACAAAATTAACATAGACGCTTTTTATCTTGTACGTGGTCGAGTAATGCTGCAGCTGTTGTAGCTGTTGTAGGACGAAAGGTTCGGTTCAATCGGGGAAGAACGACGCCCTTACCAGCATGAAATACAGGCTTAATTCTATGTTTCGTATTAAAGTGGGTAAAAATTACCTAACGTACATCCGCTCGATAAAATAAAATGATGTGTCTTACCTAGTTTGAAGAGCACCTCCCGCTCGGTGATGTAGACTCTGCGGTGGCTACATCACCTGAAGAGCACCGCATCATCACCGCAGAGTCTACATCACCTGAAGATGCCTCGTGTAGAGGCGAAACACGTGTCGTATTGTCGTCAGTGGTGTTGGGAGTAGTGGTGCTGGGATTAGTGGTGACGAGAATAGAGCATGCAATTGAAGGAGGGCGGGAGGTGCTCTTCAAACTAGGTAAGACACATCATTTTATTTTATCGGGCGGATGTACGCGAGGTAATTTTTACCAACTTTAATATAATGGATTCCGCAAAGTAACGCCTGAGTCTATTAATTATTATGTTTCGTATGTTGAAGCATTCCATCTTAGACGTCAGGGCTGACAACGAATCAGCATTTTGACTCTTAATCGTGGATAGATGTAGATGGCGATGTGCCACAACTTCTACTACCATCAGGTGGTCTGTCTGTCCGGGATAATCTTCGGAATGGCTGAACCGAATGTGATTAAATTTTACGAACAGATAGAGAGCAATGCCAGGAGTGATTCGGGCTATATTTTATTAGAAAAATTTAGATTTTTTTTTTGTGAAATCGACAAATTGATATAAGTAATTAGTCATTGATGGTTATTTTATTTTAATTATTTAAATGACGCTACATTAATAAATGCTACCCATGCGAAGCCAGAGCGGCTAGTCTTGAATAAAACTGATTTTATGGATTTTATCGCATTTAATTTTAACTTACATTAAATTCTCGATGACTCTAATATTTTGCAACATCCATGTCCATGGTACGGGGATTTTTACTATGACTTCCTACTATTTTAATTTATTAATTTATTTATTTATTCGCCGCTTCACCTTAAAGTAGCTTAAAATCATGTAGTGATAAGCATGGTTTTGGATTTGATTATATTATAATATAAATCACAGGATCCCAGGTTGATGGTAGTATTCAGCCATCTTCTTTATTTTTAAATAAAGTGAAGTTACAGTCTTATAAACGTCCCACGGATGGGCATAAGCCTCCCCTTATTTCTAAGAGCATTTGTTAGGGCAAGGTAGTGTCCGGCAAAGAGTAGCCAAATTTTACACTTAAGTTCAAATGTATAAATAATGATATACTGTTATTGCAGTTTTTGAAAATAAGAATAAATAAGGCTTCTATTTTTATTTGAAATTATTCCAAATTGAATGTGCTTTATGGGCAACAACTACGCTTACGTACGCTCCTCTGTGTGTGATTAAATTCACAACGTTTCGCCGTCAGATTGACCCTTGCTAATGTTTGCGTGCGTAGTAAAATAGTAGGCGTTAGATATTTATGAATGACAACCAGTTAAAATAATGCATTACCACACATTTTAAAATTGAGAGATAAAAAGTACAGAATGTTTGAGATTTTTTTTTAATTAATTATTCTTCGCCATTTAGCAAAATTTTACCATTCAAAACCTTCTGTGCGAATTTAGCGGGTTATTGCAAAATAATCATATAACCCTGTATATTCCTCGCATAAGTAAATATTTATTCATAGGTAATAAATAGCTTGATATTTTAAGGATCTACTAATATAAGCAATTTACATTTTAGGTGTATCCTATATGGCTTTGTCCATTTAAAGTATTCAATGAACCCGGTCAGTTGCGAGTGAGCTCCGGTAAATGGCAGATGTTCGTCGATATCGGTGTATATGGTGTGCCCAAGGCCAAGGGCTATGAGACGGTAAGCGTGAATGGGTAAAGTATATTATAACACTTCCTCTTGACTACCTCGTTGGTCTAGTGGACGTAAAGGGACTGCTGGTCATGAGGCCTCCGGTTTGAACCCGGGTTCTCAGTAGTTGCCCCGGAAATCACGTAAATCCATTAGTCCTACGTCTGATCTCTCTCCGGTCGAGTCAGTTTACCGTCCAATCGGACTATGAGAGTGAGGAAATGGTGAATAGAATAGAATAGAATAATTTTTATTCAATATACATAATTACGTAATACTTATTGAAAGTAATTTATTTATTTACCACTGGATCGTAAAATACCTCTGTGCTGGGAAGAACCAACAAGAAACCTAGCGGGACTTTTTTTTAAACATATTTCACTTTACAATAATTTAGTTATTTTTGTTTGTATAAATTTTAAATGAGTTTATAAAGAACCAGAATAGTGGCGACCACCTTATTTCCAGGGTTTTTTTTTTCACTTATATTCTTTGATATTATAATAACCCTTTTTGTACATATATATATATATATATATATATATATATATATATATATATATATATATATATATATATATATACATTTGCATAAATGTATTGCGATGCCAAAATTAATATGTTTATTTCTTTAAATTTTTCTATAAGAGACTCATTACTATTTAAGTTATAAATCGCCCGTACGGCTCTCTTTTGCAAAACAAATATAGCTTCGTTTTCAGTCGCATTACCCAATAGCAAAATTCCATAGGACATCACGCTATGAAAGTAACTAATATAAACTAATCTAGCTGTTTCAAGATTGGTGAGACTTCTAATCTTTCTTACAGCATATGCTGCAGAACTAAGTCTGCTTTCTAATTTAGATATATGAGGGCCCTGTTGAAGTTTCGCGTCAATAGTAATACCAAGAAAAACAGTAGTATCCACAAGACTCCTAGAAGAGGATGCACCTGTGCTTGTACATACACTCGGGCATTATAATCCTATCCTATAATTGAGGCTGTCCGCCGTGACCAAAATCCGGTCTGAAGGAGGACATTATAACACTTCTTATAGCACACCCAGTTTTTTGATTGGGCAAGCGAATCATTTACTCTTTTTTTTTCTATTGGTTGTGTCAAAAAGCAGATAAACGTAATCTTAAGACAGGATGTGCGGAAAGGCATCTTCAAAAAAGCCAGATGTTAATACTTATTTTAAATTTATTAATAACTTTTAAATGTAAAATTGCAAACATAATGCTTATGTAGTGTTACTTATTAAATGACAACCTTAGCTACGCAGTAATTATCACATCATTATAGATCATCACAAGTTCACTGCTGAACAAAGCGTGGGAGACCTGAGCTACCTGCATCCATCGACTACCTGCATGTTTCAACAGGGCATCGCTCCATCTAGTGGGACGTCATCTGACACTGCACTTAGCACTATTTTCCCCCATCGGTTGTCGATTCTTCGCAGATCTGTACGCAGTGTAACTAATTAACGGACGTGGTTATGGCTTTCAACTAAAGTTGGTAATATGCCCAAAAATACTGAACCCAAATTTAATAAACAAAATTCTCATTCAATTCATGATGGGAACCACCATAATAAGTGTCACGGTAATCCGCCTGCCTAGTGTACTGTGTATCGCAGAACATATTTTAGAATAAAAGTATACCAGCTGACACATTCGTACAAAAGACCTATATTCTGCCGTCTATTTAAAGAAGCTGATGATTATGACCCATACGGGTGTCCAGTAGTATCTGAGAAGCAAGTGTCTGGTGTACTGTTAACTGCCAGACTCCTGGGTAGAAAAGGAGCCCCATTTCTTGTGATTGAAGATGCGGCAGCCAAAACTAAATGTGATCCCAATTTAATTTTCATATTATACAGGCTGTCCCAAAAAAGTAGGTTGAAGCGAAAGTTCAGAGGAAAAGCAACTCAACGCGATATTTTGTAGTTGCGAGTTATGATTTTTTGTATAATTAATTGAATGGGCCTAAGATAAAATTTATTAAACCTTGGTTATTGTTTTGTATAATATTATTTATTATAATATAGCTAGGTTTCGCAATAGAACAGTTCCGTTTTGTTGAAAGAGGTTTTCCAGTAATTAACGCACGGGTACGCGATACCCGCTTCCCAAATTATGTTGCCCCTGCATGTGTGGTGATTATGGCAAACTGCCTTTCTATTGAGTGAAAGAAAGGTCATCTTCAACTTTGGGCTTATGAATGGGTTGAAATATTGTTGGTATAGTTGGTTGGTCTGAAACCCTGACCCCATCATTTTGAATTTTTACCAGCCGATTACAATATAGTATACTTATAGGTGCTTGTATAGTAGGGCTACGATGGCCACTCGAGTACAGAACCAGAGTATGAAACCTATCCAATTGCAGAGAGGTTTAAGACAGGGTGACGTCATATCCCCGAAACTCTTCACCGCTACATTGGAAGACGTTTTCAAGCTTCTGGACTGGAAAGGATACGGTATTAACATCAATGGCGAGTACATCACTCACCTTCGATTTGCCGACAATATAGTCCTTATGGCAGAATCGCTGGAGCACCTAAGCACCATGCTCAATTACCTCAATAGTGTTTCCCAACGGATAGGTCTTAAGATGAACATGGACAAAACAAAGATCATGTTTATTGTCCATGTTACACCTATCCCAGTAGTTGTTGGGAGCACTATGCTGGAAGATGTCGACGATTATGTTTACCTGGAACAAATAGTCCGACTAGGTAAGTCCAACTTCGACCGAGAGGTCAATCGACGGATTCAACTCGGTTGGGCAGCGTTCGGGAACTTACGGCACATCTTCTCATCAGGTGTACCTCAAAACTTGAAAACGAGACTGTACAACCAGTGCGTGTTGCCAGTGACGACCTATGGAACTGAGACGTGGTCCTTCACTGCTGGCCGGATGAGGAAGCTCAAGGTCGCTCAGCGAGCTATGGAGAGGGCTATGCTCGGAGTTTTTCTGCGTGATAAACTTAGAAATGAGGAAATCCGCAGTAGAACCAGAGTGACCGACATAGCCCATCGGATTAGTAAGCTGAAGTGGCAATGGACCGGCTATATAGCTTGAAGAACTGACAACCGATGGGGAAAAAACGTTCTCGAGATGCAGCCTCGTACCGGCATGCGAAGTGTAGGGCGTCCCCCCACTAGATGGAGTGACGACCTGGTAAGATATGCAGGAAGTCGATGGATGCAGGTGGCTCAGGACCGTGCTTTGTGGCATTCCTTGGGGGAGGCCTAGTTCAGCAGTGGACTTGTGAAGGGCTGTAATGATGATGATACTTATAGGTGAATATTTTTTTTCTTTTGCTTCAGGTATCTTCAACGAGGCGTGTAGAGGAATTCGTGATTAAAAACAAGGGTTTTCAAATGTTATACGCTGATACGTACACCACGTTAAAGGAGTTCAGACAAATGTTTGATCACACATTGTACGACAAGCTACGCGACTCATTGCCTTACTGCAAGGATGCTTTCCCCGAAATATACGGAAAAGTGAACAAGAGTGTTAGAAAATAATCTAGTACTTATAAATTGTTTTGGGCATTTTGAAATAAAATATTTCTTATAATTTAATTTACCTTTTTAATACGTACATATCGGAGCCTTTGGAAAAACACACAGTACTGCTACGTGTATATAAGTACGTCAGTGTACAAGCTTTTTTTTTAATAACAAACACTAGCAATGCTGTTAACATTACTAATATTCCTTTTAACTACTCCTGGTAAGCTTAAAATCCGCGCGATGCCGTTAGGCTATTATCGCTTTTAGTAGTCGCTTGGTTTATACTTCCGCCACGATGGCCAGTAGGGGACTTAAGTTAAATGTCACCTTATACCCAGTCTCATACAGCTCGAATGGTTGCAAATATATATATTTAAAGAAACGTAACACGTAAAATATTTTACCCGTGAAAATTTGTTCTTACAGCGGACAGAAAGTAATGGATTGTAAGTCGACTTTTCAAATTTGCCACCTCACAGATTGACGACAGCAAACTTCCAACGTACAGTATTCATATTTATGACAGAAGATAAACCTTTCTATAATTCATATTATATCGTTATAATTCAAAGCTCCTGCGCTGGCCATTTAAATTCATACCGAGACTACCGAGATAGACAACTATGCATATGAGAATGACAAGTGTCGTCGACAAAAATTATTAACCATTTTCAAGTTTTATACATATGACATAGATTGTTAATGTGCACTTTAAATAAAGAAGGTCCATGGATAATACCCGGAGGAACTCCGAAAGACGCCGTTGATTCATCGCTAATCAAGTCTCAATTCTTAACAATTTGCAAGCGATTAGATAAGTATCACGAAAAGTCTGAGAGCCCACCTGTGACACTGATGCACTCTCACTTATCAATAAGCATAGGGCCGATACTATGTCGAAAGTCTTCGCTAAATTAAGAAAGATGACTATTTTTTATCGAAGTATGTCACAATGTCGACACGAGCTAGTCAAATTATATAATTAGTGTATACAAGTTGTTTTTTTATTTAAAATTATTGAATAATTTAGTTTACGATGTAGAGCCATGTTGCAGCTATATTATAGTTGTAGTTTTAACTATTATTTATTCTGTGGTTGTAGCACGTATGGGTCGACTCAACCGAGTAAGAGCCACGCTCTCACAGAATAGCAGCATTAAAATAGTAGCTAAATGCTATATTACGCTAGTATTGCTGGTATTTTAAGTTGTCTTACATTTAGCTTGGATAGTGTTGAGGACCAAAGAGCTTTTTTACTGGAAACGAGGCGTTACATCTTAGTCCTTATTTCTGCATTTTGATTCCTAATCGAAATAGATGTAGATGTCTATGAGCCATAGCATCTACTAAACATCAAGTGGATTTTGTGCCCGTTTGTCACCCTTATTCTATATAAAAAAGACTGAATTGATAGCCCGTCGTAAAATGGACTTAATTATCAAAAAAAATGTGATATGGTGGCGGCGTAAAAGTATCCATCACCTAGGTGGCTATAGGAAATCTTAAGGTTTTTTACAGACGGTAGTACAATATAACCACCTCGTTTCAACAGACGTAAAATACTCGGGCCGATTACGGGAAGCCGCGTCATGTCCGAGGTGCGAGATGTCCGGTACTGCGATCGTCAATTCATCAGCTAAGCGTGACGATTAAGGTAAATCCCAACACAAATTGGTGACAAAGTGGTGCTCGAGCCGTTCGGACGTGTATCGTTGTGCGCACGGAAATCTTTTACTCGCGTCTATAGCGCGTCTATAGAAAAAAAATGCTGATTTGTTAATACCGTGTGATCATATTGTGGGATTGGGTTGGAGATTTCAGCGACCATCAGATATAGTCACCTTATGGCGTGATCAAGAACATTGAATTAGATCTATCAGAAAAATAACGGTTTGAATCGAAATCTTGCCCAGTTGAGGTGGCCAACGCAGGCGTTCTCCCCTACGTTCTGTCTTGTGCCTAGTTTTGCATTGAAGTCTCCCATTAACACCGTATAGTGGGTTTTGGATGAATGCATGGCTCTTGATATATCCTCATACATTTCCTCCACCTCCTCATCGGGATGTGCCGAGGTTGGTGCGTAAACTAGTATGACCTTCAGTGAATACCGTTTGGTGAATCTAAGTATAAGGTACGCAACCCTCGTCGACACACTCCCATCTTTACAACGTTGTTAACGAGAGACTTGTGGACGATAAATCCGACACCTCCTTGGGATAGATGGTTACCCTCCCGGAGGTAGAACAAGTTGCCGGAGTAGAGGGTTGTAGCGTCCTCCCCCTCTCTTCGGACTTCGGATAATCCTATAATATTCCAGCGCAACTTGTCTATTTCTTCCAGCTCCAGGATCTTCTCGCCAGTCCTCAGGGTGCGTTCGTTATAAGTTACCAGGTCGAGTCATCGTAGGTGGCAACCAAACCTCCACCGGAGATTCTTAGCACCCCCTGCCCCGCCGTTATCATGGTCGCCACCGTAGCTAGGAATAGGTGGTGGAAGGACTGGTGGCCGTTCATAATGTCATTGCTCATGGGGGTATATTGCCATAGTTGCCACGCTTGGCGAGCGGGTTGGCAACCGCAGTTTTTATTGCTTTTTGCTGTTATCAGAAAGATGCTGCTGCCCATCTTCTGCCACAGTTTCCCTCTGTCGCCTTTTACGACACCTACGGAAAGATATGGGGTAGTGAGAATTCTTACCCGCTACTACACGGGGAGTTGTTGTTGTCTTGTTTTAGGAGTACCCATAACTCGGCAAGTTTCCTGGAATATTTGAGACTCAAAATTCCTTCCTTGATCGCTGTGAATCTCTAAAGGTACTCCAAAACGACAGAAGACTTCATGAAACAGTTTATCTGCAACTGTTGAAGCTTCTTGAATTGGAATGGCGACGACTTCTGGCCACTTAGTGAAGTAATCCATTCCAACCATGAAATAGTTGTTACCACTTTCACTTTCCAGAAACGGCCCTGCAACGTCAAGGGCTATCCTCTCCCATGGTGCATCAATATTGTACAATTTCAATGCGCCTCTACTACAAATTTGAGGTCCCTTTACAGCCGCACAACTTGTACATTTGCGGCACCAGTCCTCGACATCGTCACGACAGTGGACCCAGTAAAACCGTTCTCGGATCTTCAGGAGAGTTCGTTTCACTCCGAGATTGTTTCCTCCTGAACAACGATTATGGTACAGCTTTAGAACATCCGGTACTTTAGCTTTAGGGACAACCATTTGCAAAATGACAGCTGTCTCCCAGACCATTTCCTTATTTACGGCACAGGACTCCATCCTGAATCAGCAAGCTGTCCCATTGAGCCCAATAGCTTTGTTTAGGCCAAAAATGGGCATTTGAAATTTGCATCCAATAGCGCGCGCTTGGCGCGTCACCCGATGGTATCGAGGTGAGGTAAACGCCTGTCTACTAGTATGGAAAAAACGTTGTTGCGCGACGGTCCGTCGCGCGCCTCCTACGGTGTTATCTTAATTTGTTTTTCGTGATAACGAAGCCGATCTCATATAATTATTGTTGTAACCGTTTTGAGTATTGTTTGCGACCGTTGGTAGGTCGGGCGTGGCTGGTGTCCATAATTCGAGGTCGCGTGCAAAAAAGCCTCTAATTTGTGTCGTTTTTGTTAGTACGTTTACGTAACGACGAGGCGTTTATTGAGTTTGAGTGATTAACTTAACTTCGTTTGCCATTAAATTTACGTCAATTTGTATAGTGATTGCCTGTTGAAGTGCTATTGGCAATATTTATTTTACTTGTGTGGCATGTTGATATCGTACGAAAGAATTTGGCTTTGTCGGGAGACCGCTGAACTTTGTGACTCGAGACGAGACCGCGTTCGTTCCCGTGTTTGTAATTTTGTGCTAAGTGAACCCGGAACATTGAATATTGAACTTTGACCGACTGTTACTTTTTTGTGTCGTGTGTCACTTGGTTTAATTTCGATGAACTTTGATTTGGTTGACTTTGAAGTTAATTAAATGTACAATAAAGTTGATAAACCAATATAGTGAAAATAAAAGCCGAAGTTTTCAATTGGTGAACGCCCCCCTGGATGGATCTCACATTTGGAGAGAAGCAGCGCCTGTGGATCTGCAGTCCGACTTCAGCAGGGATGTCAGGTTACACATTATACACACTACTACACACTACTTACATGCACATCACTTATCACCTGACAGGTACCCTGTGGTCAACCCTACCTCCGGAAATCGGTAAGTTATGCTTGCTTATTTGTCAGCCGTTTTAGAACATTTATCCATAGGCCATTGGGCCCGAATCCTCGGCTGCTCGTCGAGGAGGCTACTATGGGCCCTAGGCAAGGCGACCTTTACCGGGGCAGCTGGGGACCGTAACAAGCTTTTTGTGGTCGAACTGATCGCTGAGACGTTGCTCTACTTGGACTTAGGAGCACTGGCCTTCACCAATTCCAGAATCGGCCAGATGTCCGAATCTTCCTGCTGTGCATGTTGTAGGCTGTCTTTCCACTCATTCCTGAGCTCATCTGTCTTGAGCATCCTCACATATACCACTTCCTTACCCTCTTGCCTAGTACAATGCTTTCAATCTTCAGGACAAGGTCTTCTTGACAATGCATCTGCGTTGCCATAAGATTTTCCGCTGCGCTGGGCGGTGCTGTTAGCTGCATTACCCCCTCGAAATCAATCACCTTCCCTTTCTACAGTTCGCTTAGGGCAGCTGGATCGAAGATGGCCCCTTTCTCCACAGCTGTAGCACCTAGGGTACCTGTATCTTTTCTTGCGGTCGCGAACTGTAGCTGCTGCAACCTCCCTGACGCGATAGGAACAATGATCCTGCCGCACGGCTTTCACCTCCAGTGCATGGGCCAATACGTCCTTAATCGTCTCGTGGTGCCCGAGCCTCACAGCAGTTCGGATTTCAAGGTCGCGGATGTCCTCGATGAATGTCTGTGCCAGGATCCCTTCATTGAGCGCAGATACAGACTGGTATGCTTTTCGAACCAGCTTCTCCACCTCAAGGGCCCA